ATTGCAGTGAACACATCTGTATTTATGACGCCCCAATTGCAATTAGCACATCTGCATTAATAACAGCCCCAACTGCAACGAACAGTCTTTATTAATGACAGTCCCAATTGCAATGAGCACATCTGTATTAATCACAACCCCAATTGCAATGGACAATCTTTATTAATTACAGCCCCAACTGCAATGAACCCATCTGCATTCATGACAGCCCCTCCCCCCCCAAACAACAACGAACAATCTTTTAACTAATAAACGCCGCCCTCATTAACCCCCCCGCACTAATTGCGCGCTCCTCGCCCGCAGTCGGCAGCGGAGTACGTGAAGTCGCGACTGCCCGAGGTGCTGAAGCAGCACCTGCAGGACTACGAGAGGGACAAGGAGAACAGCGTGCTGTCCTACCACAGCATCCTGGAGCAGCAGATCCTCTCCATCGACAGGGAGATGCTGGAGAAACTCACCGTGTCCTACGATGAGGCAGGTAAAAAAACCGAAAATTTGTGGTTTACCCTTCCAAAAATCTCGCTCGTTTGCCCGGCTTTCCTCAAATTTAGAGAAATTTCCGAGCGGAGGTTGAGGTTGGAGTTTTTGTTCGTGGTGGAGGTGGTGGTTCCTTGTGATTCACGTTTTATTTCTCCCCCCCCCCAAAAAAATGGCTTGTTTTTAGTTTTTCTTCAAACACCTTGTTGAGTTTTTAGCCTCGTTTTTGGGAGATATTTGTTCATGATCTGGTGTGGAACAAAAAAATCTCGTTTTCAATCTTTACCCAAACATCTTGTGCAGGTTGAGTTTTGTCTTCATTTTTGGGAAATATTTATTCCTGAACTGGAGTGGAATAAAAAATCTCTCATTTTCAGTCTTTCCCCAAACACCTTGTTGATTTTTTGTCCTCGTTTTTGGGAGATATTTGTTCCTGAAGTGATGTGGAACAAAAAAATCTCATTTTCAATCTTTACCCAAACATCTTGTGCAGGTTGAGTTTTGTCCTCATTTTCGGGAAGTATTTGTTCCTCTTGAACTCAGGAATTTCAGTGTTCCTGAACTGGTGTGGGATAAAAAAAATCTCTCATTTTCAATCTTTACCCAAACATCTTGTGCAGGTTGAGTTTTGTCCTCATTTTCGGGAAGTATTTGTTCCTCTTGAACTCAGGAATTTCAGTGTTCCTGAACTGGTGTGGGATAAAAAAAATCTCTCATTTTCAATCTTTACCCAAACATCTTGTGCAGGTTGAGTTTTGTCTTCATTTTTGGGAAATATTTATTCCTGAACTGGAGTGGAATAAAAAATCTCTCATTTTCAATCTTTACCCAAACATCTTGTGCAGGTTGAGTTTTGTCCTCATTTTCGGAAAGTATTTGTTCCTCCTGAACTCAGGAATTTCAGTGTTCCTGAACTGGTGTGGAACAAAAAATCACTCATTGTCAGTCTTTCCCCAAACACTTTTTTTTGAACTCTTTTTTTTTTCCCCAAAACACCCCAAACGGGAATTTTTGTTCCCATTTTTGCAAATATTTGTTCCTGCTGAGGTCAGGCTGGTGTGGGGAATGTTCCTCACGAGGGTTGAGATGCCAGGGACTGCGAGCACAAACTCAAAATTTTCAGATCTGATTTTGATTTTTTTACAACACATTGTTTTCAAGCACTTAGAAATGCTTTCCAGCTTTTGGATCCTTTTGCAAAATCCACCTTCCCCAGGGATTTTGGCTTCTCAAAGGTCAGCAGAGGTAAAATGAGGGTGCAGAAAATTTAATTCAGCACATATAACCTGATTTTAATGATGCATCAAAATAAACTTCAAAAATTGGTGCTTTCTGTCACCTCTGTTGATTTTTTTTCTCATACAGAATTTCCCACTCTAATAAATCCTGTAATTTTTTTTTTCCCCTTAGTTTGGTCAATCCAGTTCCTCTCCACTTATTTTCATTTATAGGAGTTTGTTAGGGAGGAGGAAATGCAGGGAAATTACTGATTCCTGTCAGAAGGAAAAGAAAACTTTTTTTTCCTTTATGTGTTTGTACAGCAAAAATAAAGATTAAAACAGCTTGAAACACATATTTGGGGATTTATCTCATCTAGCAAAAATCATGTGGAAACGAGTAGCTCTGTAATAACTGGTTTAGAAAATTGCCAGCAGCACAGCTGGAAATGAAAACCCAAAATTCCAACTTCCCAAACACCTCCAGGGATGAAAACACAGCAGTGGAGCCTCCTCATCCTCCTAATTGTCACCTTTCTTTATGAGAAAGGCAGAAATGGCTCTACCTGCCCTTGAAGTGAGAGCTGACTGGGAGCAAAGCACAGAAAATGGGTATTTAAATAAAATTACAGCAGCTGCTGGTGATCCTGGCTGCTCCAGCCTTTGGTGGTGCCATTTCCCCTTTTTTTTTTAGCTTTTTTTTTTTTTTTT